GGTCAGCAGGGGATATGTGAGGAGATGATTGGTGGAGGCTCGGAATTGGTGAGGTAGGAGATCACCAGCCTAAGGCTCAGAGCTGAAGTACTTCACCTGTACATAACAAATGCTAAATTGTACAAGTCAGTCAACCGTTCTACATCTTGGTTTCCTTACCTGTAAAATAGGAAAGTGAAATGGTGGATAATTCTATGGATCCCTCAGATATAGGTCTCTCCAAATAGACTGTGAGCCCCTTGAGGTAAGGCTATGATTTCTACATCTTCATAGTCATAGTAGAGGGTGGTGGTTCAGTGACAAAATTCTTACCTTCCTTGCGGGAGACTCAGGTTCAGTTCCTGGCTGCACACCTCAAGGGCAGCCACCACTCATCTGTCATTGGAGGAATGCGTGTTGCTACGATGCTGAACAGGTTTCAGTGGAGCTTCCAGACTAAGACAGAGGAGGAAGAAAGACCTGGTGATCTACTTCTGAAAAATAGTCAATGAAAACGCTAAGACCCTATGGATCACAACGATCTGTTCCTGTTGTGCATGGGGTCACCATCATTTGGGGACCAACTTGACGGCAGCTAACAACAACAACAATCACAGTGCAGAGTCTGACACATAATAATTGCATCAGTTAGTCATGAATTTGACTGCAAGGAACAGACACCCAACTAAGAGTGGAATGCATTAAGTTTTATTTTCTCCCATTACAAGAAGACTAGGGATGTTCTGGTGTCAGTTAAGGTGCTCAACAAGATCTTTGAGGACTCAGGTTCTTTTCATCTTTCCCCTATGCTCTCCTGTGCATGCTGGCCTTTTGTTCTTATTCTTGTCAACTCATAGTCCCAATAGCTGTCACACCCATGTTCAAGGCAAGAGGAAAGGGAAAGGGGTGACACCCGCCATTTATTTGTTCCATAAAGAAAGTGAAAGCTTTCCCCAAAGTCACATCAGATTATGTCTCATTAGCTATAAATAGGTCACATGATCACCACTAGCTGAAAGGGAGGCTGGGAAAGCAAGCATCTGGCTTTCCAGCTTCTGTAATGGAAGACAGCAAGGAAGAAGGGAGGTAGATATAACTGTTGGGCTCGATGAATGTTTGTTAAATAAATATGATCATAAAATAAGCTGAAAATGCTTCTCTTTTCCCAAGTGGAGTTAACTATGCAGTTATTTCAAGGAAATACCAAAGCACTTAATTGGCTATCCTTTGAAGTTATTTATATCTCAGCTTGTTTTTATTTGGCAAAGCAGGAATTACCTGAGTTTTCTCTCACAGGGATAGGGCAGGAAGTAGAACTAGAGTGAGGGTCAGAGCCAGGAAGAACTTAGTTGGATCTATTTCACTTTGTTGTTTTCCGGAAGGACTATTTTACACACATTCACTTCTCAGTTGCCCACCTTCATATTGCAAAAGGCATTTCTTTCTGTCCTGCTGCCCATTGATCATTCTCCTCACACAGCCAGCCAAGTGTAACTAGTTGGGAAGTTCCTGGTTCTGATTGGTTTTCACTACCTACTTATTTGCATGTTTTATCTCTACATCTGGCATTCAGAGTGGGTTTAAAAATTGCCAGGATCCAGCAAGAAAAGAGCATAATCTCCACTGAGGAGCAGCACTATTAATTTTCATGTAATAATTAATTAGTTAATTAATAATTAATTAATAAGCACTATCAATTTGCCAGGCACAGTGCCTAGCACACAAGCCAAACCAGTTGCCGTGGAGTCGATTCTAACTCATGGCGACCTCATGTGTGTCAGAGTAGAACTGTGCTCCATAGAGGTTTCAGTGGTTTTGTACCCAACCCTCAACCCTCCAGAAGTAGATTGCCAGGCCTTTCTTCTGAGGCACCACTGAGTGAACGCGAACCTCCAACCTTTCAGTCAGCAGCCCAGGTTAGCAGCTGAGCACATTGACTGCACTGCTCAGGGACTCCCTGCTGCACAAGAGACACTTATTAAATGTTAGATGCTATTATTACTTAGAATGCTGCTTCTTTTCTTCCTGCTTACCTGGCCAATGTAAATCTACTTTTTCCCTATATTACCCAGATGTGATTGGACAAAACTACAGAAACCAAGCCTGAACTATACAGTTCTTTCCATTCCTCCTAGAGGTTGCTGGGAAAACCCCGGGCAGGTAAGACACTCTGGAACTTTTCTCTGGTGTGCTTGAAGTACTCTGTTAGGGATAAACTATCACCTCACAGAACCCGGCCTTTTAGAGAGAGAAACTGAACCCTAATTGTTGCTTTCAAATTTTTTCTCCTCATTGTAACAACTCTATTTTCTGGTGAAATTTAATTCTCTGGGCATCCAAACACAAGGAAAGGGAGCTATTTACAACTTGCATTCCTGCATAAAAGAGGTACAAAGTTCTCTAGTAGAGATTTCTTCTACATAAATAAGAAGACTACATTCAAATGTATCTCCTAATACTGTTGCTTTGCAACACTGAGTTGATTTTCTGTTGTATTACACATTAACAGGTCTGTAAAAAATGGAGGACACTTGGTTCAGTATCTTGGCTTGCAAGGCAATCACTGATGTTTACAGAGATAACCAGAGGTGCAGGCTCACCTGTTACTTGTTTCTGACTTTTCTCTCATCTCCCCATTATGCTGGGTAATGATTAAGAGGCCAGGTTTAGGGGTCCCCATCTTCTCTGCCCTTGGGCAAAGACCTTTATCAGTTACTGTCAAGTAGATTTGGTCTCATGGCAACATCGTGGGTGTCAGAGTAGAAATGCACTCCATAGGTTTTTTTCACTGGCTGATGTTTTGGAAGTAGATCACCAGGCCTTTTTTCCAAGGCACCTCTGGATGGACTCGAACCTCCAACTTTTTGGTGAGTAGCCTAGCGCATTAACCGTTTTTAACACATAGGGACTCCAAAGACCTTTAGTTTGAGTTATTTCTGCTAAGCAGTAGTCCCCAAACTTGGTTGTCCACCAGAATCACCAGCTTTTTAAAAAAATGGATCCTAGGAAGCTCCTAGAAGACCTGGTGGCACAACGGTTAGTGCTTGGCTTCTAGCCAATAAGGTGGGTGGTTCAAACCCACCCAGCGGCTCTGTGGGAGAAAGACCTGACATTCTATTTCCTTAAAGATTACAGTTTAGAAAACCCTATGGGGCTGTTCTACTCTGTCACATGGGGTTGCTATGAGTAGAAATCGACTGACAGTCACCTAATAACAATAGGAAGCTCCTCCTGGCAATTGATTCATTTGGCCTGGGGCGGAGCCCAAAAGTCTAGATTTTAACAAGCTTTCCTACAGCCAGGACTAGTGTTTGGGATCCTGCGGGGCCCCATCCAACACTGCCTTGCTGTACATCTCTCTCTGCACTGGAGGTGTCTGTTGACTGCACTGTCTCCCTACCCAGAGTATGAACCCCTAAAGGGCAGGGACTCATCCAGTTCTGGGTGGCCAGGAACCAGCACAGTACCTGGCATGGAGTGAGCAACCCATGAGGAGAAGAAAGGTGGAATGGTAGGCAGGCAAGCTGCCTTTTCCCATGAGAGCTTTTCTGAGAAAGAAAAGCTTCTATTTCTGGAGAGACTACTGTGACTGAGAAAAGATAATGGCAGCCAAGGAAGAAAGGGCCTTGGGGAGGAACTCATGTCTCCCGCAGACCACACAGGCGTTTAAGAGACTCCTCCATAACTTTGACAATAACAGGTAACAACAACAATTATTATTATTTATTAGTGTGACTGTGTGCCAGGCACTGGGTTAGCACATCTATATGTTTTATCTCATTTGGTCTTCATAGCGATCTCGTGAGGTGGACAGCGTCATGTCCCCATTCTACAGATGAGGAGAGGGAGGCACAGGGAGGTGGAGCAGCTGGTCCAGGAACACACAGTTAGGAAGCGACAAAGCTGGGACTCAGCAGGATGAGCTTGCAACCACTACCCCACACCACTCCCCATATCTCTAAGATGTTGTTGTTGCTATCGAGTCAATTTCAACTCACATTGACTCCATGTGTATAGAGTAGAACTTGCCCCGTGGGGTTTTCAAAGCTGTAGGCTTTCAGAAGCAGATCACCAAGTCTGTCTTCTAAGGCATCTCTGGGTGGGCTTGAACTGCCAGCCTTTCCGCTAATAGTCAGTGCTTAACCACTTGCTCCACCCAGAGAGTCCTCTCTAAGGTGGGGCAGCACAATTCTGGACAAAACATCACGCACATGTGCGAGGTGCCCATCACCATCTTAAGTAGTTGTTATTTATTAGGTGCTGTTGAGTAGGTTCCAACTCATAGCGACCTTGTGTACAACAGAATGAAACACTGCCTGATCCTGCGCCATCCTCACAATCACTGCCATGTTTGAGCCCATTGTTGCAGCCACTGTGTCGATCCGTCTCATTGAGGGTCTTCCCCTTTTTCACTGGCCCTCTACCAAGGATGATGTCCTTCTCCAGGGACTGGTCCCTCCTGACAACATGTCCAAAGTATGTGAGACGAAGTCTCGCCACCCTTGCTTCTAATGAACATTCTGGCTGTACTTCTTTCAAGACAGATTTGTTCATTCTTTTGGGCATGATTCTGGAGGAAACATCACATACACATGCCAGGTGCCCATCTCCATCTTAAATAGTAGCATCCAACGAAAACTAGTCAATGGCTGAGGAAATCAGGGGAAAGCAAAACACCTCTCAATAAAGAGGCCATGGTACACTTCTCCAAACAGGCTATATTCTTTCTAATTTTTATTCCTCTGCTGCGTGCGAAAGGTCACTGGCTACATCTGCATAAGCTGGTGAAGTCACGAGAAAAAATACTTGGCAAGGGAACCCTGGGATGGGAAGGGGAGTGAGGGAGGTGGGGACAGAGGAGAAGGAGGTGAGGCAGTTTAACAGCAAGAAAGTCTGGCTTGCTTTTCCCTCCCTGAACCAGCCCATCAACCTCCTTCTCTCAGGCAGCTGACCACTCCCCTGGGCTGGATTTCCTGCACTCCCACAAACATCCCAGCTTCCGGAGTCCGCCTGCATTCCTGCTGCTGTCTGGGTGCTGGTCCTCACTTTCCGGGAAAGTGGTTTTGGAAGAGCTGGAAAGGTGGGTGCCTAGTGGAGGTTCCTTTCATTCTTCTCAGAGAGTGTTTACTAAGAGTTTGAAGCCAGGTTGGGGAAACAGGCCCCTTTTAGGAAAAGAATTAGATTGCCTTCTTGACGGAGAAACTCATGTAATGACAGTGTTGGGCTGCTCCGATGGGGGTCAGTGGGGAGGTGGGGTGAGGGGCCAGGAAGGCAATGAGGGCAAAAGAAATGATTCCTCCTCTGGACCTGCAAAAGCCAGTCCAAGGGGACTTTAGTTTTAGGGGAAAAAAAAAAATCTTGAGTGATGAACGCTGCATTTCTAGATGTTGTGTGGCTTGGATGTCAGAGACTGCCAAGGAAAAGCAAAACACCAGCTGCTGTTGAATAGATTCCAACTTATGGCGACTCCATGTGTGTCACAGTAGAATTGTGCTCTATAGAGTTTTCAATGGCTGATTTTTTAAAAGTAGATTGCCAGGCCTTTCTTCTGAAGTGCCTCTGGGTGGACTTGAACCTCCAACCTTTCTTTTAGCAGTGAGAGTGTTAACCATTAATATCACCCAGAGATTCCCTAAAGAAAAGCAGACGCTCTGCAAAGCCACCCACGTAGGGAAAACAGAAAGGGGAGGACCTAGCCAGCTGCTCAAGGTTGCGGCACTGGCTCCTTCTGGGAGTGTGCCGAGAGATTAAAAAAAAAAATACCGAAGGCTTCAGGAGGATCACATTGTTCACAGATACAGACCCAGAAAGGAGACAAAGCTCCGTGGCTTCACTTGGTTTAGGACAAGAACCCCACCCCACTTTTCTGATAACCTTGTTCTCCCCCTCCTGACCCATGCACACAGCAGGCTCTCAGTAAACCCTTGGTCACTCACAGCTCAAACTAAGTGGAAAAGGATGCAGGGTGGCTCCAGGGACAGAGGAGTCACAGCCTTAAGAAACAAGGAGTCGGAGATCACCTGGGTTTGAGGAAGAATCTGCTTTTTACTTTAACGGAAGTACGTCTCCTTAGAATGTTAATGGCAGACATTCTTCAAACAGAAATCTTCATCGACACACCGAAAACAATCTGCTTTTGCTCTATGCTATTCAGGAAAAGGGGCGGTGGTGGTTCAGTGGCAGAACTGTTGCCTTCCATGCAGGAGACCCAGGTTCAAATCCTGGCCAATGCACCTCCTGCGCAGCCACCACCCACCTATCTGTCAGTAAAGGCTTGTGTGTTGCTATGATGCTGAACAGCTTCCAGACCAAGACGGACAAGGAAGAAAGGCCTGGCCATGTACTTCTGAAAATCAGCCAATGAAAACCCTAGGGATACAATGGGCAGCATTTTCCTCTGTTGTGCATAGGGTCATTATGAGTCCGGCTGACTCGAAGACAGCTAACAACAGCATTCAGGAAGAACTTTCCGGTCGGCAGAGACCTCCTGAGTGGCAGGACTGCCTTAGAAGGTGAGAGGGCTGCTGAAGATGGAGGGAGTGGGGCCTGGCAGAGATGTCCGCCCATGCCCTCCCCCCCTCCACCCTCCTGTAGTAACACTGCAGCAGGGCCACTTCAGAGGTAGTTTCTTTGATGTCACTTTCCCTGCTTCTCCTCCTATCTCTCTCTGTCTGCTCCTTCCTGGAGTCTTTTCTTGGCCCCTGCTCCTCCCAAGACTTCACTAGCATCTCTCTGCTGATGGTCCTGCAATCTATCTCTAGCTGCAGCTTCTGTCCAATAGCTAAGAGCTGCCATTTACTGAGAACTTTCTATGTGTGTGCCAGGCTCTGTGCTATGTGCCTTAGGGGAGAGCTGTGCACTACGGTGCTGAAAGCATGGGCTGTGACAGAGGCTTAACTAAGGTATGGCAGGTAGGGGGTGTGCCCTGGGTACCTCTTGAGGAGGGGCGTTAATAAGCAATTTCTATTGGCCATCACAGTTTCCTGCGTGAGATCATTCAGCAATTTACAAGTAATTGCCATAGGCACTACTTTCCGCAGATAGACTCCTGACTCTGGCGCAGACTACATACCTTCACATCTTGTCCCAGCTACTTACTGTATGTGTGACCTTACGCAAGTCACTTCACTTCTCTGCACCTTAGTTTTCTCCACTTTAGAATGGAGATAACAATAGCACCAACCTCATAGGGTTCTTGTGAGGCTTAAATGAATTAACGTAAATAAAGTGCTTAACAGTGCCTGGCACATGTGTTTAAGAAAAAAGAAAAACCAAACTCGTTGCCCTCGCGTTGATTCTGACTCATAGCGACCTTATAGGACAGAGTAGAACTGCTCCAGAGGGATTCCAGGGAGCAGCTCGTGGATTTGAACTGATGATTTTTTGGTTAGCAGCTGAGCTATTAACCACTACGCCACCAGGGATCCATGTGTTTAATAGGTGTTAGCAATTCTGCTTGTCTCCTTTCAGCCTCATAGCAAGCCACTAAGGTAAGTATTACGATCTCTATTTGCAGATGAGAAAACCGAGGCTCAGAGAGAAGACGGAGCTGGTCTGGAGGCTGTAGTCCAGCATTTCCTCTGCTACTTTGCAATAAAAATAACAGAAATATCTAACCCTTAGAAAGTAGCCCTGGTGGTGCAAATAGTTTGCGCTCGACTACTAACCTAAAGATTGGCAGTTCAATCTGCTTCCATAAAGATTACAGCCAAGAAAACCCTGGGGAGCAGTACTATGTCCGTAACACATGGAGTTGCCATGATGAGTTGACATCGACTCAAAAGCAATGGGTTCTTTTTTTAAAAAAAAAAAAAACAAAACAGTAAGTGGCAGAGGCAGGCTTCAGATCCAGGCAGGGAGTTCCAGAGTCCATTCTTGTAATCACCGTACTAAATTGCCTTTCTGTAATGGTTAGGTAATGGTAAAGCAGAGGGTCAGCGAAAAAGAGGAGACCCTCAATGAGATAGACCGACACAGTGGCTGCAACAATGGGCTCGAGCATAGCAATGATGGTGAGGATGGCCCAGGACTGGGCAAAGTTTTGCTCTGTTGTGCATAGGGCCACTATGAGTCAGAACTGACTCGATGGCACCTAACAACAACAATGGCTACGTAAAGAATAAATACTCAATCCTGGAATTTATTTTTAAACTGGTAGCAGCTTTGGGGTTGGAGAAGGCCCTTGGCAGTAAATTGACACTCGAAGCAGTCCTTTGGAGGCAGCATTGATCCCTGTGGGCAGACTTTAAAATGAGAATAGCCTGGCAGGTAACATCTCATTTAATCCCCACCTCAATCCTCCGTGGTATTACTAACTTTATTCTACAGGTCAGAAACCTGAAGCAAAGATAGAGGCAGTCACTTCCTCATGGTCTCACAGTTAGTATGTGTCGCAGTTGAGCTTTGAATCTGGGTCTGTAAGAATGGCATGACAGGGATGTCTGGCCTCTTTGTCTGACGTCGCAAGGGGGAAGGCCTGAAGGCATTCAGCTCTAGCTCTGTGGGTCAGCAAACCTGGCTCTACCAAGTGCCCAGAGGCACCCTACTCTGCCAGCAAGCCTCTTGCCCGAAGGTGCTCAGCTTTCTCATTCTGTAGGCTGGGAAGCCCACCATGCCATCTCCTGCTTGTCTCCTGCCTCTGCTGCTGCCGTTTCTCTGCTGCCGCTTCTTGCCATCCTTGGTGTTACAGCTCTCTCTCTCTTGGTCTCCTGGTTCTAGGAGTTTCTCAGCACAGGGATCTCAGGTTCATAGGGCACACTCCGCTCCTGGCTCTTCTCTCTTGGCAGGGGTGGGGGGATCCTCTCTTCCTGCCGCTGGGATGGCTCATTTTAAGCCTAGCAGGATGGCAAAACTGACCAATCCCCTCGTTAGGGTCCATACACCCTATTTGCATGGTCCCACCCTCACATGCACCTTATTTACAGTATTAGCAAGCTATCCAATCCCCTTGGTGGGCCACTAGCACCTAACTTGCATAGTCCCACCCAGTCATTTGGTGGGAGTTATAAAGACTATGGCTAGAAGGGGCATATTAAGTAATTCACTGCACTGCAGGGTCTGACTCCAAAATCCCTGGCTGGGCTCCAGAATCTTCGATGACAGGGTCTGACTCCAAAATCCCTGGCTGGGCTCCAGAATCTTTGATGAAGCTTAAAAAAAAAAAGTCAAGCCCACTGACTCAGAATCTCTTGGGGTGAGTATATGATTTTTAAAGGCCCGAATCTGACATGTGGCCAACACTGAGAACCCCTGCCAGCTACACTGCCTCTTCCAAGTGCCAGAACCATGTTCCCACTTGTCTGCCAAACATACCTACCTGGGCACCCACCAGCATCTCATCCTTTGCAGGCGCAAGTGAAACTCATCTTCTTTCTCCATTTCTTGGAGCCTGGTACAACCACAGATTCCCTGGGTGGTGTAAATGGTTAAGCACTAGACTACTAACTAAAAGATTGGCAGCTCGAATCCAACCAGAGGCACCTCAGAAAAAAGGCCTGGTGATCTGCTTCTGAAAGGTCACAGCCATGGAAACCCTATGGAGTAGTTCTACTCTGCAACACATGGGGTCGCCATGAGTCAGAATCAACTTGATGGCAGCTGGTTTGTTTGGTATCACCACCCATTCACCGAGGGTCTTCTGTCAGGAATCTGAGTCATCTTCAACTCCTCTGTCTCCTTCCTTTCTGCCATTGCTACCCAAGACGTCTCCCAAACCCATGCCTTCCTCTATCTTTGCTGCCTCCACCTCAGTTCAAGTCCTTACCATTCTGGCTTGGTGTCCCTGCTGACTGTTTCTGCTTCTCTGTGTCTCCATCCCTCCCTAGGCCATTTCCCATGCCCACTCCCCTGTACTCCCCAGTCCGCATCCTTTCTCCAGCCTGTTACTGTTAACTAAAAACTGCCTAATCCTCATCATCCACTTCTCTGCTTAAAAACTCCCACCAGCACTCTCCCACTGGTTAATATCCACACTCCTTAGCATAGCAAACCCAGTCTTTCAGCCTTTGCCTCATATTCCTGTTGAGGCGAGCCTCAATGCCTGCCTCATATTGCAGACAATCTTTCTGCCACACTAAACTTCCCACCATCCCCAAAACAAACCATGCCTGTTCACAGCCTGTGAACATGCCGTTTAGTGGCTCCTGCCTGAAATGGCCTTTCTACTTGACTTGGCTGAAAAACCCCTGTTCATCTTGTGGGACCCAGCTCAAATGTCACCTCCTCTGGGAAGCCTTCCTGGAGTCCCCTGGGGAGAGGGGCATCACCTCCTCTGTCCTTCCCCAGAATAAGTTTCCATCTTCAATGAGAGCATCATAGGATTGTGTTGGGATTTGATGGCATGTCTATCCCTACCCCTCAGATTTTTTGGCTCCTCATTCAACAATCACATTAAATGTCTCCTATTGCCACATGGGAGCCCTGGTGGCACAGTGGTTAAGAGCTCAGCTGCTAACCAAAAGGCTGGCAGTTTGAATCCTCCAGTCGCTCCTTGGAAACACTACGGGGCAGTTCTACTCTGTCCCATAGGGTTGCTATGAGTCGACTTGATGACAACAGGTTTGGTATTGCCAGATGTGGGGCCAGTGGTGGTTCAGTGGTAGATTCTCACCCTCCATGTGGAAGACCCAGGTTCAATTCCCAGCCAATGCACCTCATGTGCAGCCACCACCCATCTGAGAGTGGAAGCTTGTGTGTTGTTATGATGCTGAACAGCTTTCAGCAGAACTTGGAGACCAAGACAGACTAGGAAGAAAGGTCTGACTATCTGCTTCCAAAAATCAGCCAGTGAAAAACCTATGCATCACAATATCCAATTCACAACCCATGGTGGGGATGGTGCAGGACTGGGCAGTGTTTTGTCCCATAGGGTATGCGGTCGCCATGAGTTGGAATGACTTGATGGCAGCTAACAACAATAGTGCCAGGTGTGGGCCTAGGTGCTGGGAATATGGACGAACAAAACTTAGTTTCTGTCTTAAAAAAGCTCCAAGTCCAAGGGAGAATGAAGAGAACAGGATACAAGGAAAAGATCAGTCTGAAGGACTAATTGTCCACAGCTACCAAGGCCTCCACCGGACTGAGTCCAGT